CGTGCATCCATTTGATTTAATCGCAGCCATCGATCACGATTGAAAAAAATTAAAAGAAGAGAAAGGAAAAAGAAGAAATTCAACCCGATGAATTTCTCGACTCTTTTCCTGTACAAAATCTGAAAAAAGAGAAAAAACTCCCCGGCTGTGAACAAGGTTCTAGTACATGGAAACGAACAATCGAGCGCATCATGGACCACCGCAAATGGCAACATAAATGCAATCCCTGTTCCTGTTGTCAACGAAAGTGAACTGCGTTTGCGGTCTGAAGAGTAGAAGACCCCTCGGATGGGGTGCGGACACGGATGCTGGAGTTAAAACAGTGGTTTTTAATTGTTCCGACTAGAAGTTAAACGTATGGACTAGGATACAATCAAGTCGGAAACACTGTATCCTCGAGCTGTATCTTAATAAAAACGATACATCATTTACGTAATTTCTTTTTTTATAATATAACAATTGAAGACGAATAACGAATAACGAATAACTTCAAATGCAGCCTATAATTGTCGCAATTTTCTTGGAGGAGAAGAATTAATTTATTTTGTCTTTTTTTTATTTATCTGCTCTAATTATCCGAGAAAAAGTATTCACCTGGATCCAATCCAAAGAAGTAATAATTTCTTAATTACCGATACGAAACCTCTGGTGATCCAATCTCTAGAAATTGAACGATATCGAGAAAAAATAAATATTTCCAAAAATCGAAATCTCACCCGAGTCAACAACATCTCTTTATTCCGTTTCCTCGTCTCCCCCACTTTATTACGCGTATCGTGAAGGCCCGTTTCGCGCACGCAAATGGACACCGTCCTTCCCCTCGCCATGCATCTCACCCTCCTCCTCGGTCGTGTCAACCCCCTCGTATGAACGAATGCGCATACGATATAGCAGAATTTATGGTGGAACAGATATACTTAGCCGTGTCGAGGGTGTAACTTGGGGGTTGGGGGAGGGGGAGACACGTTATTGTTGCGTTAAGTGTTACGACAACCGGTGAAACTCGCCCCGTAAGCGGAATGGGAATGAGAGAGGGATGGATTTATCGCCTCGAAAATACCAGGGACAGTGGCCTGTATGTACACGCGAACGCGAATTTCCGGCCACCGAATGGAGCACCGATTGATTTCACCGTTTGTCATTTTACGAATTCTCTCGTCCGCTCGCCCCTCGCTTTTTCGACGCTTATGCTTATGTGACAGACGTTAACGTGATAACAGAAAACATATATCGATCGATGGATCGATCGATTTATATAAACGAGACGATGGAGATCTTCGTCGAATCTTTGTCGAGTGGAGATGCAAATCTTCAGTACCTTTTAAATAAAAGCAAAGTGAGAGTATTATGGAGGATAATGAATTAGAATGTTCAAAGTTCACGAAGAATGTTGAATTCAACTGTTACTTCGTGTATCTACTATTATATCTTTTTGTCTAAGGAGATATTTAGAGAATCGACTACTTTTCAACTATTAAAATATACTTCTATTATAAAGTTTTCTGCTTTTAAAATGTAGATATCGATTGATAAATGATTGGGGAGAATTTATATAAATGAAATGGAGATCTTTGTCGAATCTTTATCGAGTGGAGATGCAATATCTTTTAGATAGAAGCAAAGTGAGAATATTATGGAGGAATAATGAATTAAAATGTTCAAAGTTCACGAAGAATGTTGAACTCAACTGTTGCTTCGCTATTGTGTCTATTTTTCTCTTTAAGGAAATATTTAAAGAATCGATCATTAAAATACACTTCTACAATAAAGTTTTCTGCTTTTAAAAAGTAGATATTGACTGATAAATATAGATATCGATGATTGGGAAGGATTTATATAAACGAGATAGAGATCTTTATCGAATCTTTATCAAATGGAGATGCAATATCTTTTAAATAGAAGCAAAGTGAGAGTATTATGGAGGATAACGAATTAGAATGTTGAGCTCAATTGTTGCTTCGCTATTGTGTCTATTTTTTTCTTTAAGAAAATATTTAGAGAATCGATCATTAAAATACACTTCTACAATAAAATTTTCTACTTTTAAAAAGTAGATATCGACTGATAAATATAGATATCGATGATTGAGAAGGATTTATATAAACGAAGAGATTTTTGTTGAATCTTTGTCGAATGGAGTGGAGATGCAATATTCTTTAGATATTGAAGCAAAGTGAAATTATTATGGAGGATAATGAATTAGAATGTTCAAAGTTCACGAAGAATGTTGAGTTCAACTGTTGCTTCGTGTATCATTATTATATCTACTTTTTCTCTAAGGAGATATTTAGAGAATCGATCACTTTTCAATCATTAAAGTACATTGTTATTATAAAGTTTTCTGCCAGAAAGATATCGATTGATAAATGATTGGAGAAGATTTACAAATGAGATGGAAATGCCAAGATCTTTATTGAATCTTCGAATGGAAATGCAATATTTAAAAGTAAAGTAAACTGATTATGAAAGATGATAAATTAGATATTCAAAGTTTACGAAGAATGTTGAACTCAACTGTTTCACTATAGTGTCTATTTTTTCTCTAAGAAGATACTTAGAGAATCGACCATTAAAATTTACTTTTATAATAAAGTTTTCTGCCAGAATCGACTGATAAATGTCAAGATCTTTATTGAATCTTCAAATGGAGATGCAATATATTTAGATAGCAATAAAATGAATTTATTATAAAGGATAATAAATCAGAATATTCAAAGTTCACGAAGAATATTGAACTCAACTGTTGCTTCGTGTATCTACTATTACTTTTTCTCTAAAGAGATATTTGGAGAATCGACCATATTACACTTCTAAAATAAAATCTGGCAGAAAATAAAAGCATCCTATTATTGTGAATTCAACGTTGAAACCGAAGAATAAAAAATAATACTAATACAAATCGTCAGAAATTAATTTTTGTTTTAAACCGATATTAAACAACCCTATTCCTTCTAAAATGCCCTATTCTACAAATTAATCTTACGAGAAACCAACTCTTCAACGTCCACGCGCGAGAAACACACCCTCGAGATGAAATTTCTAGCGAGTTTTACCATAAAGACGCACGATATACAGATTTCCTCCAAACTTCTCCGAATTTCTCTCGTAACGTCATAATCTATCCAGCTCGTGCCTCGACACGATCGTCTCCCTTCTTCGTTCCCCCGTCGCATCAACGTCAAATAAATCTCGCGTTTTGATCGCGCGGAGATTACGAAGTTAAAAAAGGCGTTTCGCAATTTTCGCACCACGTGGGCCCTCGTCGTTGAAAGAAACCCGCGTTATTAATTAATAATTCTCCCGGTTTAAAACGCAAACACGCGTGGTCACGCGAGAAGAGGCGCAGGGGCTCCCCCGCGAAGCGTCACGCATGACCCAATGCGCCACACGTCGGATGGCACACGTCGGCTGGCTAATTCACCGATAAACGCGGAGAAGTTAATTTTTCTCGCACGATGCTCATGCCAGATAGAGAGACGTAAAGTTTCAAAACGAAATTGAACAAACGTTTTTCTAACCGCGAATTCAATTAATAATCATATTTCTGTTCTTATATTCGAAACGTTTTGAAACGTTGAAAATATATATTTTCCGTGCATATTTCGTTAAATTCGTTAGCGAAGAGATATTAAAAAGCGGCATAATATTATAGAATAATTTTATAGTCTCGGGATTATTTATTTATTTTTTTCTAATCGCGAATTTAATTAATAATTATATTTCTGTTCTTATATTCGAAATGTTTTGAAACGTTGAAAATATATATTTTCCGTGTATATTTCGTTAAATTCGTTAGAGAAGAGATATTAAAAAGCGGTACAATATTATAGAATAATTTTGCNGGGATTATTTATTTATTTTTTTCTAACCGCGAATTCAATTAATAATCATATTTCTGTTCTTATCGCATATTCGAAACGTTGAAAATATATATTCTGCGTGTATATTTCATTAAATTCGTTAGAGAAGAGATATTAAAAAATATTATACAATATTATAGAATAATTTTGCAGGTATTATTTATTTATTTTTTCAATCTACACGCACGATCAACGGTATCGCGATTATTTATCAGATATCGACGATATTATCGATCAGGCCCCTTTTTGCCGTTAATGGGATAATGTTAAACTCGCTAGTAACAATACACACCGGCCAATATCGCGCAACAAATCACGTAGCCACGGATGTTTATGATCCGACGTAACAGATCATCCCTACAGATAAATCTGAATTTATGCTTCGTAAACTGAAAACAGGTTTGCAATTTTATTTCCACAAAACACCTCGTTGCTGACCTCGTTGCAGAGAGAAAAAGAGAAACAGAAAA